TTATGAATTATCTTGAATAATAGATCGTTCTTGTATCGGTATTCCATTTAAATCTGGTATTGGTATAACGACGATAGCAGTACCTATAATTATATTTTTATATTTGTAATAAACACATATAAATTTAATTGAAAAAAATATTAAGGAATTAATTAAATACCAACTTATTAAAATAATAAAGGCTGCTATTATACTAAGTACACATGAAATATTTGAAACAAATTTAATCATTGTAGCTGCCAAATGTGGTAATATTCTTGTTAATCCCATAACAGTACCCCTATAAATATATTTATCAAATATAATAATTTAATTGATAAAATGATTATTAACGATACTATAGGATTTTATATACCTCAAACAGGTTGGATAATTTTCAGCTATTAGAATATTAACAATCGTATTATTAATCGCATATGATGCGAGAAATAATATGGAGAAAATAATTTGCATAGCATATTGAAATAAAAAAATTATACAGAATATCGCTATGCCTCCTATGAATGATGATAATACTGCAAATGTAAAATAAAATATTGAAATCAAATAATTTATATGATACACAATTTAAATCAATTAATTTATATTACACATAATTTAAATCAATTAATTTATATCACACATACACATATACACGCGCGCACTCGTACACGTACACACACACATATACACAGAGAACATTGTCATATAATAACAAATGTTACTAACTTAAAATCCATTTTTTTCTAACAACTTGTATTCCTATCATAAGCAAAATTTCTCCCAATAAGTAACTAAAAGAAATACATAATAGAAATATGAAACGTTGATGATTAATTTGTTGACAACTTAATAAGAGACTCTCGGCTATCTCTGAGAAATTAATATTGCACGTAAAATCAATTCCTTTATCCTTATCCTTCATTTCTTTTCCAAGTTCTTGTAACAAATGACTATCCCAAAGGGCAAGCCAGATGAATCTTTAAATTGATACAACAAAAAAAAAGAAAAAAGAAAAAAAAAAGAGAGAAAGAAAACATTGATTTAACATAAATATTAAATATATATTTATAAGAAGTAAGAATTAAATAGAAATGAAAAAGAATTAAATCTATATTTATAAGAAGTAAAAATTAATTAGAAATGAAAAATGAATATTTCATATTACCCAGGAAATTGTAAGAAGCATAAAAATAAGCTGCATATTGTGATACGTCTAAATGGCAATCGAAACAATTTATGTAATCGTTCGTATGTCTTCATGCAATATCTATAAATCATTTTAAATAGACTATTTGTATCGTCGGTTTCTTCGTCTTGCTCAATGCAAGTGTTCAAATCGACGTTCTGCAATATCAATAGGATCAAGCAAAAATATTTGTTTAATATTTCAAATGTTTTATATAGAAATATATTAAGGAAAGAAAAAAAAAAAAAAGAAAAGAAAAGAAAAAGAAATCCATTAATAAACAATTAATTAATGTACCGGATAAGTTTCTATATGCTTTGAATTATTAATAGCATACATCTGCCTTAAAACCGTAATCGCTTCTTCCTGACGTTGTTGATATAACAAAAATCTTGGTGTTTCTGGTAATAAACTAACTGCACAGGCTATCATCAAACTTGGTGCACCACCAATACCAGCAAGAACTCGCCAGGAACTTGGACGGAATTTTTTATAAAGCATTTGTATGATAGAAGGAACTAATGACCAAGATACACCTATCAGAAAGGGGTTGAGATAAACCCGAATAATTATTTTTTTTTTCTTTTTTTTTTCCTTTGTTTTATCTTAAGGAATAATTCTCCTGTATTGTATAATCGATAAAGAAAATATTAATTGTACAATAAACACCTAAAGCAGACAGATAACCGAGGATCCAAGCAATATCTATTATAGTCAAACAAATCTCTCTCCTTTTAATTGGCAGGCATTCAATAAGATAGACTCTCAAAACTATATAATTTCCAGCTAATCTGAAATAATAAAAAAAAAAAAAAAAAAAAAAGATCAAGGGAAAATTATATATTTAAAAAGTCTAATATCTCTCTAAAATATATATTACATTTATAACTATATTAGCTTACCCTAGACCTAATAAAAATATAAATAAGTTTATCAAAAATACGGTTTGAGCGAAGGAGAGTGCTATCGATGAAGAAAATATAAGAACCATGGTGAAAGTAATTATTCCTTTACGTCCACAAATGTCGGCTAAACTTCCAAACAAGAAGGAACCAATTGCCATTCCTACGATTGAAAATAAAATTATCACGTGTCAAACTAAATATAACAATCATAATGGAAATATATAAATACATATATTTACGTACCGAAAGATTGCGTAGCATTGAATACAATGATGTCATTCTTCTCCAATTTTAAATCGCACACTATCAAACGTGATATTACGAAAACAATAACGGAGGCAATAGCTTCTACGAATGTACAAATTCCGCATAATCCAACGATAAAATAATGACATGCTCCCCAACCTATTCATTTTTTGTCGAAATTAATATATCAAAAGCATTATAATAATTAAAAAGAATTTGATGTAAACGACGATCAGATAAAGAGAAAGAGAGAGAGAGAAAGAAAGAAATAAACCCACCAGTTTTATTTAATGCAATTTCACATCCGTTGCTCATTGTTAAAAATCATTCAAACACTATGCAATATTATATATATATATATATATGTGTGTGTGTGTGTTATATTATATTCTGTAAATTATTAAAAAATTTATAAAAATGATAGATAACTTCAATGGAGCTTCTCAGTGCACGTATAAATTTTCTATTTTCTATTCTCAAAAGATATTTGAAAAACATGCTAACACGATAACAGGACAATTGTCTTCTTTGGTTAACTGTCTAATTGCAATAAAAAAAAAATACAATATATCTATACTTTATTGCACATAGAGATGTCGTTGTTTCTTTCTTTCTTTCTTTTTTTTTTGTAATTATATATATATATATATATATATATAGGAAAAAAAATAAAAACAAAAAAGAAAAAGCGTAAAGACATACGAAAGAAAAGCCATTTATTAAAAGATAATTAAAAAGCAGATATTTTTATGACAATTAATTCCAATTATTTGAAATGTATATAATAAATGTGCTTATCAAACGTAACTCTAAATGTAAATTATAAACGTCAATACTGCGCTTGTAATCTGAACGAGCAATTTTTTTTTTTTTAGATGTCAATACTATTTGTATACTTTGATAACAATTAAATTCGTTTATTGTTAATAAAGGAATCTTATCGGATGCAACCTTTTGATGCAATCTGAACAAAAACTACGAAACACCGTAGTTTTCTCAGCTTTTAACTGATTTTCTTTTCCTCTTTTTTTTCTTTTTTGTTTTAATAAATAAACAAATGCTCGCTCTCTCACAAGTTTAGTATTGTCGTGATACAAAAATGAAATTATATTATCATCGATCAGAAATATTTGATCGTTCTATTTTAATTAAAGCGATTTCATTATATTGTCATTGGATCTGATAATATCTGCTGGGAATATAAATGTCCATATATAGGATTTCATTCGTCTGATTAAATAACATTTACGAATCTTTAAAATATTCCTTTGAAGCGACCACGTCAGGCTTCATGGTTTTCTTGCCTGGTTTCCAACCAGCTGGGCATACTTCACCATGTTTATCAGTATATTGGAACGCTTGCACGAGACGTAAGGTCTCATCGACGGACCTAAAAACAAAAACAAAAAAAAAGAATATTTTTTATGTATATATATATATATATGAAAGATGACAAAGAATTAAATTAATATCGAAATAAAATCAAAATGTATATATGTATATAGAAAAAATTCTATACGTTAATTGGATGTGATTGAAAAAAAAAAAAAAAAAAAAAGAAAAAAAGTTAAAACATTTTACTTTACAAATGATAAAGAAAATATTTTCGGATGATTTAAGATCAAAATAAATCAACATTACCTTCCAACCGGCAAATCATTAACGGTGATCTGACGTAAATTTTGTTTATCATCTATGATGAAAAGACCACGGAATGGAACTCCAGATTCTTCATCGAGTACGCCATAATCACGTGCTATCTTCAAACTTTTATCGGCTAGAAGGGGAATAGTCATTTCACCAAGACCGCCTTGTTTTCGTGGTGTATTAATCCATGCCAAATGACTGAAGTGAGAATCGGTAGAGGCTGCTATTACTTGACAACCAATGTCCTTGAATTCTTGTGAACGATCCGAAAACGCAATTATCTCGGTTGGGCATACGAAGGTGCTGTTAAAAGTTATGAATCAAAAATTTTTCTTTCATTTGAGTTTATCAATGATTTAATATAATTTTAAAAGCATACAATTATTTTATTTATTAGAAAAATCATTGTTTCTTTTTCTTTTTTTTTTCCACGTAAAACTACATACTTTTCACAATAAAATAGAATAGAATAAAATTAAAAAAAAAAAAAAAAAATTAAATTAAATTAAATTTAAGCAAAACAAAACAAAAATAAATGAATAAATAAATAATAAACGTGAAAATATATTCATTATTAAGAATATAATATATTCAATTCTAAATTAAAAAAAAAGAAAAATAAATAAATAAATAAATAAATAAATAAATAAATAATAAACGTAAAAATATCTTCATCCTTAAGAGAAGTGTATTTAATTCTAAATTAAAACAAAAACAAACAAAAAACAAATAAAAAAAAAATAAACGAATAAATAATAAACGTGACAATATCTTCATTGTTAAGAGAAATATATTTCATTATAAAATAAATATTTTCTATAATCATATATATTTATCAAGGTATCTATTTTTTTTTTTTTTTTTTTTTTTTTTTTTTTTTTTTTTTTTTTAATGATACCTGCAATACTTATGAGATACCATAAGAGTTTATTAATCGAACGTATACAAAAAAAAAAGAAAGAAAAAGAAAAAGAAAAAATAGAAAAAACAGAAAAAATAGAAAAAAAAAAAAAAAGAAAAAATGAAAAAAATTTTACATCATTAAACTAAACTGTTCTTTTTATTATATCAATCGGTCTGTCATGTTAATGTTAATTCTGATAAAAGGTATGAAGGGTAAATAAATCGAGCATATGTCGATTACATTGGTATGCATTCTTATCTTGTATAAAGAGAGAGAGAGAGAGAGAGAGAGAGAAAGAGAGAGAGAGAGAGAGAGAAAGAGGAAGATTAATTCAGATATAAATCAACTTCCGAGGTTTTTGTTATATAATTTTCAAATTTTTACGAATCATTGGAATGATTATTTAAAGCGTAAGGTATAACGGTGTAGATAAATGATAAAGGACACGGGGAAAGAACGTGGTGGATGGGGTGGGGGAAAGAGAAGGAGGAGGAGGAGGAGGGAAGAGAGGGATGATGGGACGACAACGATGATTATACGTACAAATCTAGAGGATAGAAGAACAACACAACGTATTGGCCTTCGTAATCGGAAAGTGAGATCTCTTTGAATTGGCCATTGACAACTGCGGTACCACGAAATGCTGGTGCTGGCTTCTGTATAGCTGGCATGGCTTATGTGATTCTATAAGGGAAAATAAAGGAGACAAAATTAAAAGACAGAGAAAAAGAGATAGATAGAGAGAGATAGAGAGAGATAGAGAGAGAGAGAGAGAGAGAGAGAGAGAGAATAAAAATAAAAAAAAAATAATAATAATAAAAATAAAACTACAAAAAAAATAAAAAACGAAAGATAAGATATAAACGAAGACATTGTTAATGAGATTATATATATATATATATTTATATAATAAGAATCATTATTAGATTAATCGGTAATGGAGAACCGGCAAGGTCATTGAATAAATAATCCATTCTAAAAGTTGAAAATCATCATTTCGTATTCTTCGTTAATTTCAATGTACATCATGATTATAATAATTATGATTATGATTATAATTATACCCATAATCTCTCGCTTAACGACTAGTTAGTTATTTTTATTATAATTGTGAAGAGAAAAAAAAAAGGAAAAAAAAGGAGAAAAGAATAAAAAATAAATCCACCGTAATAAGAAATACTCTGAGTCACGATAATGAGTTGATAATGAAAGAATAAGAAAAAAAAAAAAAAAAAAAAAAGGAAAGAAAAAAGAATGTACATTCCAAGTACGATCGTAATGATTAGGACAGTCCATGATCTGTAAACACGATTTAATCTAACATTCTTTCGTATTATCGCTAACTTTAATTTGATTGTTTAGACGTATACGCGATATAAGATATAATATAAATCATTTAAAAGTCGATAATGTATAATAAAATCTTCATTATAAATTAAAAGTTTTATATATATATATATATTGGGTTGGCAACTAAGTGATTGCGGATTTTGTCGTTTTCTTCTTATTTGAAATCCAGCAATCACTTAGTTGCCAACCCAATATATAAATTTATTCCTTCGTATGTATGTATGTATGTATGTGTATATATATATATATAAATATATATGAATATATGTATTTTATATATACGTAAACGTTTAATCAAAAAATTTATGATATTTAATGTTCAATACTCTCTTTGTTAATTGCCAATAAAATTAAAAAAAAAATTTTCTTCCTAATATCTTGAAAATAATTATTTCTATCTTCGTAAATGTAAAATACGTTTACATGTAAATTATCATAACACAAGGCTTCCGATAGTAAGAAGTAAAAAAGAAAAAAAACGAGGTCAAATTAATGTCCGTAAATGAACAAAAAAAAAAGAAATAAATAATAATAATAATAATAATAATAATAATAATAATAATAATAATAATAATAATAATAATAAATAAATAAATAAATAAATAAATAAATAAATAAAATGATTAACGAATCATTCGAATGATTTTATCGAATGCTCCAAGTTTATGCCAATAATCTGTTCTATAAAAGAGTAATGATGAAGAAAAAGAGAAAAAAAAACAACAACAAATACGTTGAGTTCCTTAACCTTCCATTTTATTTCGCTTAAATATTTAATAAATTTATATAAGTTTTGCAACGTCATAGATTGCATCATAAATCGTATAGATTGAAAGATCTTCGAAGAAATAATTAATATGATCGGAATGATCATTTATTGTAAAAAAAAAAAAAGAAAATTCTAGTACAATCTATTACGTTTTCTTCTACGCTCTAAAAATGATATGTAAAACGGTTTCGTGGAACGCCATGACCTCGAATAAAGGATAGAGAAAAATCTCTAACGAAAAACATTTGAAATAATAAACTCCATTGTTAGAACGTATCTATGTTTAATACATTAACATATTAAAAAAAAAAAAAACTTATGATAAGTCGATGATAGATTAAATAAATTTTTTATATATTACCTTGGTTTCTAACGTAAGAGAAGCAGTTAACTCGACGAAAGCTGAACAAAGAAAGTAATAAGAACCTCACCGGTGACCGGTTTCATACGAATCTATTCAATGACTAACACCTTGTGAAGGGTAACTTACTGCTTATGTTATTATCAACGATAACAGAACCATCTGTAAGATAAATTTCGAACTACGAATCGATCATTCCTATTATTCTATATATTAGAATAATAGGAATTTATCTGTCATATAAATGTCAAACTTATGAAATGTCAAACTAGCCTACAATTCTTAAATTTGACATACCACTTGTTAGATAAATATCAAACTATAAATTGACCAATCCCGTTTTCCTTCTGGCAAAATTAGTGTCACGTGTCATCAACGTACCAATCAGCGTACACTCTTGTCTAGCCAATACCGTTTCAACAATTTTTCTACAAACGCGGGAAACGCTTTAATCTTTTTTTTTCTTCTTCGAGTAATTCTTTGCGTCGTAATTATACGTTTCGTTTTGTTTAATACTATATTAATATCAAATATATTCGTTATCATGTTAAAAGTAAATCTGAACGTTATTATACTCAATTAAAATTAAAATTGACTTTATGAAGTATCGCTTATAGTATAGTTGCTATATCTGGCGTTTAAATTGTAGATTTGAATTGAAATATCGTTCATTAAAAGTAAATCAAAAGAACATTTATTTCAATTAAATTTAAAAGTAATATTTCATTCACGATAAAATCATAATTAAAAAATACTTTATCATTTCTTTTAATAGATTATAAAATTGGTACGTTTTATATTATAATTCATTTATCATGAAAATTTAATTTAAAAATTTTTTATATAAATGTTCAAAAACAAAAATACCATACTTTTAATAAAGATTTAATTTAAACTGTGAAAAAATAGTCGGGGGAGGGGGGAAAGAAATTAAACAAGTTGTATATATTACTTTGTAAGAAAAATGAAATATTTTGGAATACATCAGGAAACTAATGTTTTATGCAGTAATATTAAAAAAAAAAAATGTATATATATATGTATATGTTTTTAAATATTTTTGATATTAGAAAAGGATAATAGGTAGAGAAAGAAAATTGATATAATGTAAAACGTATTGGGGAACATTGTCTGCTTTTTTTTTTATGTTAGAATGAAAATCCAATTAAAAAAAAAATGTACAGTCTTGAATAATTTGATAATTTTACACAATAAAATGATTTATGATATACTTATACATGATTATATTCATACAAGTCTCATTAAAGTAAGAATATACAAGTCTAATTAATTAATATGTCTATATATCACAACTTCACATTTTCAGAGTATTGGCCATAATACATTAGCAAAATGTTTATTTTTTGCTCTGTGTCGAATAAAGTATTAAATAAAATATAGGACTGTTGTTATTTAGGATGGAAGACTTGAAAGTGGATACTCTTTAGTATCTTTGCTCTCAAGTATAAACACTGTGCAACTAATTCTAATAAAGCGATCTGGTTTATAATATTATCTTATGAATCATATATAAATTTAGCGTAGCAATTTATTTACAGGACGCAACAAGACTTCATTCGAGATTGTCTTTATAATGAACTTCTATTTATAAAAATAGTTGTACTAGAAATTTTATAAGTTCTATGTCTTCAGAAAATGAAGATGTAGATCAAGTAACACAACCTGATCTCCTTTGTTACATGGTGTCTTCGATATTATTTTGGCCTGCTCAATATCGTCATACAATTACATCATTCATTGAATCGTAAAAGTTCATGCAATTGATAACCGATTCCCATTTGTTATAATAAAAATATTTCCTTGTTAATTGTGTCGAGGAACTAAAGAGTTGATATATCTGGACCAAAATTGGAGATATGTTACATCTATACTTATATTAAAATTCTCTTGCTCTGCGTTACATTATTATATAATACAGAGTAAACTGTAAATGTTTTTTAAACTTCACATATTAAATTCGACAGTCTCATTGCACTATATTTCTATTATAATATTATGATTTTCCTTTTTAATAAAATATAAAAATAATAATAAGCTGTAATTACTCTGTAACGTCACTCCAAAGGTCCGACGGAACTTCAGATTAAGAGTATCAATTTCTATACACACATATTATATCCAGTCGTACGGTAAAACTATCTTATATTTATGAGCCTATTTCGTAAGTATAAAATTTCAAATGATTTTACATAAGTAAAGCAATAACAAACGGTAGATAAGTTGTTATTGGTCTTATGTGATATATAAGCATCACATATGTATATAGACCTTTTTATTAAATTTTAATTAAGTTTATAAGTCATCTAAAAATTTTCTTTTCTTTTCTAAGTAATATTATAAAATATTGCCTATTGTTCATAATGTTCATTTTATGAAAATCATTTTAATTGTTTTACAACTGAAAAGTATATATTTTTTGGTAAATTTTAAAAGTAATCATCACTTTTATTAGACAATAATAAAAATCATTATGATTATAATCATTCATGAAAAGATGATCTATTTGATGCAATAGATAGAAAATAAATGTAAATGAAATAGAATAAATACATTCATTTTAAATATCTTTTGTTCCCACAAATTTATCTTAAAAATTTTAAGTTAATATAAATTTAATCGGTCGGTTATCTAAATTATATGCTAAACTATACAATCTATAATCAAAATCTATTATATAATAATAGTACAAACGAATAAAAATTTAATTTCATAATTATTCAGTTCTTCAACTTTGGGAATATTCTGCACATTTATATACAGTCATTTAATTATTAATCATTAATGGGCTTATACTCTGGACCATTTATACAAATTGATTTGCTACAGAACTTATTATATACTATCATTAATGTAGCGTGTAAACTATTTAAATATAAATAACATTATATGCACTTATACAAGCTGTTATTATAAAATCGTAAATAATTATACAATAATAATGACATAATTTATATATTCACTGTTACATAAGTGAAAAATTTTTGTTCGATAGGTGCAGTCAATAAACATTGAAATTAATGTCTTGTATTAGCATAAATCTTGTTTTATCATTAAATTAAAAAATATTTATAATTTTTAATATGGACTGCAACATCAAAAGAAATCAAAAATAAGAGAGTAACATTGTACATATAGTGAGTATTTACATTATATTATTTGTTATAATGTTTAATTGTACTGCGAAATAAACAAAGTCATCTAAGAAAATAACATATCCACGTCTCTGTAATCATATCTTAAATATTAATTATATATTTTTTCATATATAGAAATTATTTTACTTTCAAATGATGGACATTTTCTCTATCTAAATATATTTTGAAAGACAAGACACGCAGCTCAGTATTATTTGGAAGTGAATCGCAACTTCAATGTTTCTTAGCAGAATTTATCATTGTGCTGATAATAACAAAATGCATCAATGTTATGATTTTTGTAAAATTTGTAATCTTTCTTCGTGTATGAATTATGTTTAAATTTAAGATACTCTAAATCCAAGATTTACTTCCTATATTTCTTGCATCATATATTTATAATATAATTAGTATCTAATATCTAGATCTCCTTCTGTAAGAAAAATATAATCACAGAAATTTGAATAGAGAACTTACTACTAAGATTTGCAAGTCTGAAGTTAATGTCTGTTTTATGCACAAAAGATTCTTATTGCATCTGTATCAATTAGCTATACACTTGAAAGAAATTATTACTTCATATCGCAATGGAATGATTTCTTTTAATGAGATCTATATGTGCAATATGTTACACAATAAGTATGATGCGCATAATATCATTCGATTACATAAATGTTTGGAAGTGTATTGTAAGTTAATCATTATGTCTATATTTTTTAAATCAAAAATAAATAAGTAAAATTAAATAGAAAAATACGAAGAAGAAATAGCGTGCATCTACAAATTTATTTGAAGTTACTGATTGGGTGGTGTCCCATGTATAAATCAAGTAATAAACAAACAAATAGAAATTTTTGGATATATATCCTGTATTTTGTGAATCGTGAATATGTATTTAAGATGATAAACGATTATAAATAGTTTTCTGTAAATAATGAATTAAAAAGTGTTTAATCTTATGTGTGTACAAAAATGAGCTAGATATTTTTTTTTACAATTAAATATATGATAAATTACAATAATTTAAAAAAGAAAAAAAAATGATTTTAATCGTGCAAATTATATATTCGCACAACCCACTTTATGAACAACTGTATACACAACTATACATTTATAATGAATTAATGAAATCATTTGAAAAAATTTGTTATCTTGAAAGATAGAAATTTAGATAATAATAAAAAAAAATACTTGTTGCTATAAAATACAATGTGCAAACAATAACTTTTATCGCAATAATACAAAATGATATAACAAAAGGAGTCAATTATGAAATTAATTATTAACATTCATTAATATTGTGATTTAATTATCTATCTCCAACAATTAAAAAACAATTCAATTGGCTCTCATGAATATTATCTTATGCAAAATCACAAAGCATAAATGGCAATTGTATAATAATAATTTTATAAGAAAATGCGCGCGAGTATGTATGTATACATGTACATAATTCATATACTTTCTTCTACATTTACGTAGATGTACAGATATAGATTTCCAATGCTTCTAGATATGCACAAGATACTCTAAATATATTAAGGTAATTAGATGTGACATGGCTTTGGCTTTTCATTTTCATTTTCTTTTTCTATTTTCTTTCTTCTTCTTCTTGTTTTTTTTTTCTTCACGTGATTTTATTACATTAACTTTATGTGGAAATATATGAAATATGTAATTTTCTATCTTTAATGAAATTTAATGACTGTATTAAAATTCCAATTGCACCATATCTTTCTGTTCTATATTGTTGTTTTAATATATCAGCCAAAAATTTTTAGCCCTTATGTAATTCAGTCAATATATTAACTGCTTTGGATGAATAACAGTTGACTAATATATATCACATGTTATTTCCTTTAATAAGAAGATTACTAATTATGCTAATACTTTTTCTGCTCACCATTTGCTGTCCTAACGCGCACCTGTTACGTTATTACCTTATATTATTTTATATTGCTCACATAGTACAGTCCCAGATTGATGACTTAACTTTTACAAAAAG